CCCCAAAGCCCCAAAACCCCAAAACCCCATATGAAGCGTTTATAAATTTGTTGCTGTTATTAAAATACAACTATAATTAAAACATTTAAACAAAATATCTATTATTTAACTCAGACCTAGTAAAAATGGAATATTTATAAGAAAAACAGATTAAAAAAGTGAGGTAATAAAATGCAGAATTTATTGATGAGTACTTAATAAGAATTACTGGATTTCCATAACTTTCAAATGTCGAAGAAACTCTGAAAAAAATTATTGAATACTTACATTTTAATCTAGAGCAATTCACTAATGTATTGCTTAGACTTAATGAAGGCCCGAATGTGATTGATATGAAAAACAAGGGGCTAAAATCACAGGTATATCCTGAATTAGAGAATATATCTAAAAGCATAATAAGTGTTCTTAGCCATAAGTATTATCAAAGTCCTGAACATAGTAAAATCCACCTACCTCTTGAACGACTTATAGATTACTTAGTAAATAATGTCCTAAGCACTTATTTAGAAAATTTAGTCTAGAATATGATAATAAATATAAAGGTCTAAAGAATGTACAGTAAGTCAACTATTTTTTAACATAGTCCGGTGAGAAATAGATCGGAAAACACAGACAGAAATATCGATGAAGTTGACATCGATTATTCAGGCCCTAGGCAAGGATATAGCAATCAATCTTAAAACGAAGCCAAGGATAATCAAGAAGTGGAAAAGGTAAGATAAAATACAAGTTCAAATAATAATTAAGACGAAGATTCCAATTTAATGATGAAATAAAATATTAAAAACAGCACTAAACAACCTTAGATGAAGCAGCAAAACTCAATGCCTCCTCAAATATAAATGCAAAGATAGCCTTCAGAAATGCAGTAGTAGCATTAAAATATTTAGAGAAGCCATACTTAAGAGGAGCTGAAGAAATCTGATAATTTACAATCTTAACTCGAAGAAATTCTTCCTCAATTATAGTAGAGCTAAGAATAGGTTGAGAAACATGAGCAAGTGTTTTTACAAATTAAGAAAGTAATTGATCATGCTTTATCAGGTTAATACGAAAATCAATATGAAGTTTTTCTTTATGGATCAGCTATAACAGGGTTATCATTACCTAATGACTCAGATCTAGATATAACCATAATATTCGACAATCTCAAAATCAACCATATGACTATCTTAAATGAAATAAAGTAGGAATTAGGTTAACCTATACACTTTTAAAAGTTGTACAGACAAGTTTAAAGAATTGAAATGAAGAGCGGGGTAATGCTTGGTTTATTAGATGAAGCTAATAATGTGAGAATTGAAATTCAGATTAACAAACTTTGTGAGCTTTTGAATTCAGAATTGATTAAGACTTATGCAATGATTGATAAAAGGTTTATGTAGTTAGTGCTCTTGTTGAAATAGTGGAATAGAATGAAATTTACAGATAGAATAAAGAGATTGAATTAGTATTCTCTGGTAATAATGGCGATCGCTAGAATGCAAGAGATAGGGTAACTTCCTTACCTGTAAAAGCTTAAAGATCCAAAAACTATAATGAACTATTAAAAATTTATAGTGAAACCTTTTAAGGGAGACCTTAACTAGACTTATTAGACTAATATAAGCTTTGAGAAGGATTTCAATGCAATTAAAAAGAATTTTCATCCTAAATTGAATCCATCAACAAATGATCATTATAACTTGGCAGAACTGCTTTTGGATTTTTTCGTTCACTACAATAAATTGTTAATGGAGAATACCACCTAGGTAGTCTAAATAACTTATGAATGCAGGAGATCAGAAGCTATTGATGTATCAAAAGTAAAGAAGATAATTAAAGAGCAATACTTTGATTAAATTAACGAAGGGGACACCTTTGTCCTGACAAACGTTTTGTCGCAAATTGATAAATATAGCTTAATGATAATAGATCCATTTGATAGGAGTTATAACCCAGCAAAGTCACTATTAAAAGGTTTTGATTAGGAAAAGAAATATTTGTTGAAGATCAGGGAAACATTGCAAAATCTTGTTTAGAAAAATATCAACGATTTTAAGTCTAAGTCTTGATCCAGAAACATAATTTAAGAGTAACATAAAAATTTTACTTGAAACATTAACTTACAATTCTCTTTAAACATCAATCTTAAAATTATAGTAACAAAAATATGTTATAATTTAAGTATATATTTTCAAGATTAATAATTTTCAAACAAATATTCCTTCAGGGGTTTTGGGGTTTTGGGG